TAGACTTTACTTTTTTCTATCAAAGTGTCTACTTTATTCAACATAGGTTTATTTTAAGGTATTATTAAACTTCAAAAACTACCACCGGTTTACAAAAACTAGACCTATCTATGAACTTCATAAAAGTAAAGTAAAGTAACAGCCTATGTAATCAGTAAATACATGTCCCATTGCTGGGCAAAGGCCTTCTCTATACAGAGGGTATCAGGGCATCGTTCACCACGCGGCCCCACTGCGGATTGGTATCACACTCACATATGTTCGAAATACATTTTTTTTGTTATTATTTCGAAAATATGCAGGTTTCCTCACGATGTTTTCCTTCACCGCGGAGCACGTGATAAGTCAGCACTTATAGTTAAAAACTTCATTGGTGCCGGCACCGGGGATCGAACTCAGGTTGCTCGAGTATATTGAATTAAAGGCGAGCGCCCGGACACTGAGCTATCACGGTTCATGAACTTCATAATTATGGATAATACGATATTAACACAGAAAAGCATCGATCTTTCCACCGAAAACTCTGCGAAAGAACGAACGATTAATGCACCTGACAAGAAATCAAAACACGGGGCTTATTCACATACAGCCACGACAGTAAATTTACGAAAGAATTCGCTGGAAAGAGTTATTTTAGAGGGGAATTTTTTATTTAACCAACACGCTAACACAACCGACGTTTCTGTTAACTAACGATGCCAGATACATTTTAAATGATTATGACATACTTGCGAGATTTTTTATTTTTAAATTGATATTATTAATAAAATGCGGCAATACTATTTTATTATTAGGAAACATCTAATATTAATACCGAACAATTTTATATAACGGGTTTTCCCTGTCGGCGATAATTGTTTTAATTTGTCTAATTAAGGCGATCTATATATATCTTTACGGTTACAATTATACTGTTTTCAATTGTATTGGTATAAACTAAACAATAAATGATTTTATTTAATTTTTACTTCCTTTAATGAAAACAAGATATATCTTCTTGTTAACCTCACAGAGTTATCAGGAATTTCTTGGGCAATTTTGTTTAATCTTCTTTTTAGTTTATTTGGTGAATGTCGTGTCCAGTTATCTTCACTTTTCGCGCTATATCCTGTAACGATGCCGCTCTGTTTTTGATTTTTTTTAAACACAAATTGTGCAGAATATTTCCATTCCGCTCAATAGTAAGCGGTGATGTAGTCTTAAGTGGTAAATTCACAAATCAGTAAAGCCCCAGCTGGTCATGTTTTGCCTTCAAGTTAAGGGAGCATAATAAATATATAATTAGTGTAATTTTTGTGCTAGGCACTGCACTCAAAATGAAATTTAAATTTGAATTTTTTGCAGATATCTGTAAGCCTGGACTTGTTACCCGAAATATGCGGTTTTAAATCCCGATGCTCCGAGTTTTTCAACAAATATATATTATTACTATAACGTAAGGTATCATTAGACTGTTGGGACGTTAGTTGAATGGAGGCTAAGTAGTTTTCGGATAGTCTGACGTGTCGCCACATTATACAGACGACAACGCAAGTCCACGTCGCGTCAGCCTAGCGGCCGGTATGGCATTACGTGACTCATTCGTCCATTGTTGTTCTGTACCGAGGCATGTTCGAGCATTGCTCCTATCTGTCTTATCGAATGTTCGAATAGATATCGAGCTATTCGCGGTAACGTTTTCGAAACTAATTAGTTACCCATTATCGCGTTTGATCGTGTAATGAACAGAATGGGGTATTAATAAAATATAACTGACGCCGTGTGACGCGTACGTTCCGCTTATCGTTTTAAATTACAGTGTCTAATTGCGATATGGGGTTGTATGTACGATCTCTGATCGCTAGCTGTAATGACTTTTCGTCGTTATAGTTATCTAAAAATTTATGCGATAGTTTCATAACAAAATGCAATTACGATATTTCGAAATGGTTTTTAAACCATTCGCCATTCATCGAATGACCGTTCATTTAATGTTTATATAACATAATATAAGAAAAAAATGTATAACTTATGTACGCACGTAGAAAGTTATACTTCTTTAGCATAACAAAAAAAAATAACTAAAAATTTTATCTAACCTTCCTCTTGAATCACCCTATCTAGTAAAACACACTGAATCAAGATCCGTTTTTTTTATGTGAAAAGTTGCCAATAGGGCAGACGGTTCACATGATGTTAAGTGAATACCGCCGCCCATGGACATCTGCTACACCCGAGGGTTCCAGATGCGTTGACAACCTTTTGAAAATTGGTCTCCGGCTACCTCACTTACCAGACAAAACGCGAAAGTATTTGTTATACTTCCAGTTTACGCCGGTCTTCTGTGAGGTCGTGGTACTTACCCGGACGAGCCTGCCCATTCGTGCAGCAGCCAAGGCCGCTGCATGGCCCTACCACCGTTGCATATTTTTAAAGATCTAAGCATACATAGGGACGACTTTAATTTATACTATGTAGTGGTGTCAAAAAGTTGTTACTGGTTGCCATGGTAATACCGTGAAGTTAGTCGCTTTGCAACTAACTTCACCATGTCTCTTTATGGCTGTCGCTGTACGCGCCCAACGTACAAATTTTACTCTGAGGGCAAAACTTTTCATTTAATTTTTTTTTAACTTGTTCCATACACGTCTAAAGAAGTACAACTTCAGAAATCAAACCCACGCCTATTCGTGGGATTCGATTGGCTTTCATCATCCACTCTTTCGTTTCACGGCACTCGACGTATGAAATGTTGGCATTATTTATGCTTTTCTCGGATACAAACGCACTGCGTTCCAAATTGGCGTACCTACAATTATCGGTCTAAAACAAAACGAACCGACCGAATGGAACAGTAACTTTGCCGCAACATTATCCTTCTACATAGTAACATGCGAATATAGACATTTTGTTACACAATATTACACGATTGTTGTCCAAACAGCAAGTCAGTTTTGTGTTCGCAATATTTCGCAATTGAATATTTGAATGCATAGTTTTTCCTGTATCATTTGTAAACGCTTTGAGATAGTCTGTAGTTTCACACGTCGACAATTTTAATAGTCCGTGGGAGATTGACCTTCGCCCATGTGAAAACCAGATAAGGCATATTTTTTCCAAAGTGTTATTGATTTATAAACACCAATGACGAATTGCAGATTGAGAATGTGTTGGCTATTATTAATTAAATGAATTTTATACCGTAACCTTCAAACTTTTGACACAACACTCGAACAAATTCAGTTTTAATCGATAGTTTTTAATGCGGGGATTATGCCTTGGTAGGCTTGCAGCCTTATTTCTGACAACAATTTTGCGAACTAAAAACTATATATGTGAAAGAATTAAACAAATGTATAAAAATAATGGATAATTGAAAAAAAAATATTTATCTTAAAAGTAAGTTACAATATTTTAGTATTTATATTTTAGTTCAGACCTTAGTTTGGAGTATAGCTAGCGCCCCTTTAAATAAACGTAACAACATAAAAAAGTATGTATGCGCATTTATTTACCATTCACGAGTCAGGCTTTACAGATTCGAATGAAAGTCCGATTGGAGAGAGCATGGCAATAGATAATACTGTGTTGTTTTTTTGTAATTGCAAAAAAAAAAAAACAAAACAAACGCACGTTTTGTTTTTTTTTTTAAAACATTGCCCTTAAGTATAACATTATCCTGTGTTGTAAGGACGTTTTACAAACATAGGTACATTTCACATGGACTAACACCCAGATGCGAAACAATAATTATCTGTGGGTCACACAAATAGTTGTCCCGTGTGGGAATCGAACCCACGACCCCCGACGCCGAAGCCAATACCTTGGCAACTGCGCCACGGGGTCACCAAATGCGTAACAACAATACAAAAATATTGTATCATGACGCGAGAATTTGATACAAACAAATACAAAACTCCTTTAGGTTTGGAGCACTTGAAGTGACGTCCCGTTCACCCCGACCGCTACCATGTTACGCTGAGCGACAGTGATTTCGGACGACGAACGCTATAAGCGAGAGTCGCTAACAGGGTTACGAGCGTACAGTGGTGGAAGGGAGTCAATACTCGCTATTGCCGTGCCTACGCGCGTAGAGTATAGAATGGGATTTACAAAGGAGGAGCTGGTGAAAAATGTAGCTCCGCGGTGCAGTTGCCAAGGTGTTGGCTTCGGCGCCCGGGGACGTGGGTTCGATACCCACACGTGACAACTGTTTGTGTGACCCATAGTTGTTTCGGATCTGGGTGTTTGTCCACGTTAAGTTTATGTTTGTAAAACGTTCTTACAACACAGAATAATGTTATCCTACAGTGAGGGCAATTAAAATTATAAAAAGACATGAAATAAAACGCACCAAGTAAGGTATCATTTAAGAAAATGATGCGATATCACTTTCCCAATGTTGCCGATAGTTAGAGTCACAAATTTTATCCTCCGTATTTGAGTGACTTTTTGTATACATATTTTATTCGAAACTGGCAACCGCTTGATGCTTGAGGCTGCATCTCCACTGACCATCCCGCCTGATGGTAAGTGGAGATGCGGTCTGTACCAACGTAAGAGCGCAAGCTAAGTATTATGTAGTAGTTATTAGTTAGTATTTATGTTTGCGTAAAGTGTATTTGTACAAAATGTTCCTTTGGCTTTTATTTTTCTTTGTTTTTATTACGCCAAATTTTCTCTACTTCCAGGGTTGACTGGTAGTGAATGCTGATTAGCATTACGTCTTTAGCCTCAAGTTGGTGTGTAAACAATGTTTTATTTTAAATACACTAGCTGACTCGGCAAACGTTGTTTTGCCATATAAATTATTTACAGAGGGATCGGAACGCACGCATAAAGTGTTTGACAAGTCACACAGTTAGACATAGTTGACAGGTACAGTTTGTATGGGAAAATAAAATTGTTGCTATTTCGATTTTCCATAATTCCTCATCGTTTAAACCTTCCCTGGACCGCTAAAATTAGCGAAATCGATCCATTTTTATATAAGAAGATAAAAAAAAATGAACGTCACTCACGATGTCGTGACCCTGGCTGCCGCTGCGCACCACCTCGGGCGCCATGTACTCGATGGTGCCGCAGAAGCTGTACGCGCGGCTCTCGCCGCCGCAGAACTCCTTGGACAGGCCGAAGTCTGTCAGCACTATGTGGCCCTCGGCGTCCAGCAGGATGTTCTCCAGCTTGATGTCCCGGTAGATGATGCCGAGCTGGACGCGGGATTGCAAACGTCAAGGCACGTGTATACAGGGTGATTTTTAGACGGAGTACATACTTAATGTTAATTGAGCGTTCCATAGTTAAAAAAAAATATTAATATTTTATTTTGACAAGAAATAAGCAGAAAAATATCAATTCAAACATTGTTTGTTTATCCCGTCACGAGTGGTCACCCTATTGATAGGCGTTCAGCGAAAAGTTTTATTGCTCGTGAATAGGTTATTGTATTGAGACGGTAAGGTAGGAATTTCTTAAGGTGTCCATAATGTTTGAAAAAATTAAAAATAATCTTTGGGAAAAAAAAATGAATTTATAATCAACTTCTGCATATGCTCTGTTAAATGTCGTCTATAAAATCGTTCTGTGTATGTTTATTGCCAATACGGATACCGAACATTGTATTGAATATTGATTTGTTTATAATGAAAATCATAAAGAAATGAACATCTATTATAAACATAAGCTATTAACTGGACAATGTAGCTGTTTTTATTTAATAACTGCAACCTTATTAGAACGTAAGAGCCATGATAGCTCAGTGCCCTGGCGCTCAGTTCAAACTTCGGTGCCAATGGAGTTGTTTGTTACAATTTTAAGTGCTAACTTATCATCTGCTCAACGGTAAAAGAAAAACACCGTTTTTTTTTTTTCATATGAATAGTTGACAAGCGAGCAGGCGGTTCACCTGATGTTAAGTGAATACCGCCGCCCATTCAGATGCGTTGGACAAACTTTTGAATTTTGGGCTCCGGCCACTTCACTCACTAGACGAAACGCGAAAGTATTATACTTTCACTTTACGCCGGTCTTCCGTGAGGTCGTGGTACTTACCCGGACGAGCCTGCCCGTGTAACAGCCGAGGCTGCTGCGTGGCCCTACAGCGTAAACCGTGCGAAAACCTACATCTTTTCGAGGTAACAATAACAGAAAACGAAATATATTGTAAATATGTTGAAAAGTCCGCCGATCCGCATCGAGGACTTGCGCCCTTCGCGAGTCTGGTCGTAAGCACTTGCGTATGATCAGCTCACCTTGTGCAACTGCTCCAGCGCCAAGATGATCTCGGCGATGTATATCCGAACCTCGTTCTCGTGGAAATGCTCCCTCTGGTACAGATGCGTGAAGAGCTCGCCGCCGGCTACGTAATCTGTGAAAGAGTTGCATCCGTCAAAAACCAATTTCGTTCACTCGACTTAATTTTAATATGACACCACGGTTGGTGTCATATTAAAATTAAAATTAAGGGATAAGGTTGTCCTGTTTTTTTTTAATTAGTATTTTTATTTAGTAAAAGCTAAAAGGGCCATCCGGAGCGGGGGGAACCATTATTTCTAGGTCATATAACGGACGTTCCCTCTTCAGCACGACTAACTTAGACTAACGTCCGGGTTCTGAAACACGGATCATCGTAGAAGAATGATCTTCAAAGTGATCAGAATGATCAATTCGATGTGAAAGATCTGATTAGTTAACTACTACGATGATCAATGTTTCCGAAACCAGACATAAGTCCACCAATTCACACAATTCCACGTTACGCCATAGCCAGGTATTATATACAATTGTGAATGGTCTTTATTGGTTCATATTATATTATATTATAAGTTGATTGTTCTGTACGGATTTATCACAATTTTATTCGATACATTTTTTCGTTGACATTTAAATAGTTGTCGATGAGTTTCTTTGAAGTTACACTTACGCAACAGTCTTCACTGTCGGAGAATTGGGAAGGTCCGTCCGGGAAAGTACCACTACCTACATACCTCATAGAAGACCGGCATAAAGTAGTATTTATATTGAATTAGGATTAGATCTGCTATTGAATTTACGAGTTACAGTGAGAGGTGACCGTGGAATTCTTAAAAGGGATTCTTCTGTTGTACAGGATGACCTTATCGTGTGTAGGGTTCTTTAAAAACGATGAACGCCAAGTAAAGAGTGCAAGTGGAGATAGGAAGCAATTCTTAGGACACAAATGTCGGTTACGCTACGCTTAAGTTTATGCCATCTTTAAACGTAAGTTATTGTAATCGCACCAGCAACATTCGTTGATGCCTAATGCCTACAATTGTACCCTCATTATGATGGTTAAAACAATTACATCGTAAAGTGTCAAGAATTGGGTTTTTGAGAATCAAAACTAGAAACTCGTTAAAAATCTTTTGTAGATGCATTATTGTGTATTAACGAATCGCTCTCGATCATGTAGACTACGCTTATTAACTTAATAGGGTGCCATTTCCAAACATCTCATAATTCCTGTGCATCAAATGTTACCGTGATAAATTATTCAAAAGCCATCTACGCGCTTTATAATTAATGAGCGAATAAGAAGCACAGAGTTTCATGCGAAAACTTAACAGTTAGAAATTTACGATTGATAATATATTGAATATGTTATTTATTATATATTATTTAAGGGCGGATTTTGACTAGACACTTCACCCGTCCAAACCACTTCATCATATTTTATTTCACTGAAGTATACGAGATAGTGTCGCGGTTTCGCGTTATCGAATTATAAGAATTGCGTTATGTAACTTTGCAGAGCGAAAAATAAAAGTACACACGAAAGTACAAAAATCGTTAAAAAAATAGTTTCCGGCTGCATTATTGTATATTAATGACGATCCCGATCCGATAGGAGCATGCCTTTTTAAATGAATAAGACACCATTTCCAAACGTCTCATAATTTCAATGCATCAAATATTAACCGTGATACATCATTCAAAAGCTGTCTGCGTACTTTATTATTAATGAACCAATAAGAAAATCAGTTTCATGCGAAAACTCATTAATGAGTGGGTTTATGATGCGAGATTTATTTACAGTGTGAGTCGAATTACAAAATTGAGTTTTTTATTATAACAAAAAAAAAGAAAGACGCGACAGATACGAAGAGAGTGCTGGTGGGCGTGTACTAACCTAATTAGGCTTACAGTAGGCGAGATAATGGCTAAAATTGAGCAAGTCTAGAAAACTTTGAAAAAATAACCCATCACATTATTCGTTACCACAAGGTTTGTGTTGTTGCTGTTGATTAATAATCTCAGATTATACATACCCTTTTGATGTCAACTCTGACCTGTTTGGTTTATGTATTATGTTTGAATTACTTTAAATTAAATTTGGAATGTTAGTTTTATTTGTTCAGACTGAATTGTGTCATGTTTGATTGATTCCGTAAAAATCGTTTGAAGATGTAACATGTGACATCTGACGTAACTCTTGTATTTTATATAAATTTCATAATGATTACGTTTGGTCCAAAAATAAGTTCAAAATGTTTGTTGAAATAAACAGTTTTCCTATCAGTCCTTAAGTGTCTTTTCGGTTTGAAAATGATCCCATGAGCCGCATCTACCATTCAAGAGTTGCGTGTAGCTTTAATGTAAAACCAATTGGACAGGTTGTTTTATACCTAGAGCGGAGAACAAATGAAAATAATTAATGGCAATGTATAATAATTGAAGGCAATGTGGAAATCGAAATATTCCATCACTTATACAGCATCTGACCTCATAGGGGTTAAATCTTTACTAGTGACCCGCCTCACGGGGAGCAAAGCATATACGTCTACTTTTTCGCTTGCTCGCTCGAGTTTTGTATATAAAATATAAACAAATAAAAAAAAATTCTAAAGAAAAATATTCAAAAAATTAATTATTTCCGACATTTTCAGCAACCATCGCCATATTTTAGCTAATTGACACAATACCTGAATGAATTAAGGCCCATTTACACGGTGCAAGTTTCTTGCCTGTTATATACAATTAAATTGAAGCAAAAAATGAGTTGCATGGTCTAAACAAGAAATGGTCTAAACAATTATTGCGCGCAATTTATTGCATTCAATTATTGCTCTTGTATGTTCAAGAAAATGGCATCGTGTAAATGGGCCTTTACGCTATTAAAGTTTGTAAAATGTTTATATATTAAAATTAAATCTTCCTCCTTTAAAACCGAATGAAGTTTTTTAATAGTTTTTGAGTATATCACGTACAGACAAACAGACGGTGCCGGGGGAATGATGATCGTTTACTCACGCATAGCGTCTATTCAACCAATCCAATAGATTTTTAAACGATCGGGGCTCACTTTTCAAATGCAAACGCTGGAAAATTGCCATATGATGGCGATATTTTCCCATCATAAAATACGGAGCAGCTTCCGCCGTTGGTATATCCGGGCATACACCGTCGGAGGCTACCGAAACGGGAAGGTAATACTTACATAACCGAACTTACATAGCCTCACTGGAGACCGGCGCAATTTAGAACTATTTATAGGTTTGCTTCTGGGATGTGACTTAACCGATTGAACGGCCCTTGTTAAAAGGTTTTTAACGCGTCTACACCGCGTATATGTGACGAATGCCCACATTTGGTGGTAATCGCTCGACATCTGGTGAACAGTGTGGACGATTTGTCACCTTCTTCCGTTACAACGACTATTTTTAACCCCACAACGATAGCTATGGCCGCACGGGCGTCTAAATAAAGACTCATCAGCCGGGGCCGCTGTGAGGTCACCGAGGGATTTTGTTGACTCTGTTACCTCTGTATTATGCTGATGCCCAGTGGCGGATTTGCCCTAAGGCACAATAGGCCTCGGGCTAGGGCGGCCACATATTAGGGGCGTCCAATCGTGACAAAAAATTCACTGATTGATTTCTTTTTTTGAGTGAAAAGTTGTCAAGCGAGCAGAGGGTTCATCTGATGTTAAGTGAATACGAGCGCCCATAGACATCTGCTACACCCGAGGGTTGCAGATGCGTTGACAACCTTTTGAAAATTGGGCTCCGGCCACCTCACTCACCAGACGAAACGCGAAAGTATTATACTTCCACTTTACGCCGGTCTTCTGTGGGGTCGTGGTACTTACCCGGATGAGCCTGCCCATTCGTGCAACAGCCGAGGCTGCTGTGTGGCCCTACCGCCGTAGATATATGATGGGCTCCGAAAAAGGGGCGGCTTGAACTTACTACATGGGCTGGGGCCTAGGGCGGCTAAGATTACAAATCCGAAACTGCTGATCCCACGTCCGTTTTTCAAGTGACCGTCTCGCGGGCTTCGCATCTATCGCGACCGCATCATCTGGGTCAAAGACTCGCTCGGATATTTCGACCTAGATCCAAGTCGGGTACAGTCGGGCACGTCTCGGGTGCGACGCCGCGCCTCGGTTTGAATTGATAGACATAGAGCGCGTAGTAAAGCCGAGGGTTTCTATTTTATTAACCGACTTTAAAAGGAGGTGGTTCTCAATTCGACTGTATTTGACTAAGTGAACGGATTTTGATGATTTATTTTTTTATTTGAAAGCCGGTGCTTCCCGTGTGGTCTCATATTAATTTCATTGGTATCGGATCTTGGGTTCTGGAGATAATTAGGGAAATTAATTATAAAATGAATACAGAGCGAGATATTTGAAGACGGTTTTGTTTTACGTTAGTAAATAATGGTTATTTGCGGTAAATTAGACATAAACGGCCCAACGAAACGGAAATCACGAACGCAAAATGCACTCCGTGCTCGGAACAATTGTCTTCACAAAAATTGTGTGGCTATTGAAGGATCGAACTCGCAACGTAGAAGAAAGACAACTAGCAACTTGGCCACTTGCACCATGACTCACGTCCTTCTAGCCTGCTGTCTTGCAAATCGCTTTCGCACGGAAAGACAAAACGAAGTCACGTCAAATATTCCGTATAACATTTTAGCGTATATAAATATCACCCTCCTGTCCTATACCTTCGAGGTTAGGGGCTAGTTTTATTCATGACTGCCCGTTTAAAGTCAACCAACCCAACTAACACCCAGGTCCGGAACAACTATTTGAAGGTCACACAAATCGAACCCAAGCCACGACGCCGAAGCCAATGGCTCAGCAATTGCACCATCGCGCCATAACTTTCATCCATAATCCATAATATCCATAATAATATTATAAATACGAAAGTAACTCTGTCTGTCTGTCTCGCTTTCACGCCGAAACTACTGAATCGATTTAAATGAAATTTGGTACACAGATAGCCTAGAGCCTGAGAAAGGACATAGCCTATTTTTTGATTAGAAAAAGGGTTCTTAAAGGGGAAAGATATTTATTTAAGGGCTTGAACGCGAGCGAGGCCGCTAATCACCGAA